AATTACTTAATTTTGTCAAGTTTGTCTATATCGTTGTGATGTTACCTTCTGTGTGCTTGCAGGATTAGACTTTCTTTAATGATTCACAAAACATTGGGGTCTTCGATGTTCTTGTTGCTACTTTTTGAGCTCTTCTGTGTTATTTTTGAAACACTTCAGGTATTTTAAGAAGCACTTCCCTTCAAGCTTGTCGTTGTTTTTTTATGTAACATAATTTCTTATGACTATGATCGAATGGTGGCAATTGACTGAGTCACTTGCCTTTGACAATACTCTCCTTTTAGGCCATTGTGGTTCATGGATTCCAGCTTCTTGACATCTGGGTAAATCATTCAGCAGGAAACAGCAGTAGTAGCCGAATGTTTAAGTTTATAGATACATCTGCAGCAGGTACTGCTTGATCTCTTGTACATGCATCCGTGGCAGGTACCTTGGGCCATTTGTAGGCCATCTTGGCTTCAAATGGTGCTGTTTTTCTCAATTTTTCTGGATGTTGGGCATCTGCAGATATTGTAGGTTTGCTTTGGTTAGTGAATAAATAATTGTGTTGGTCAATATGCTAAGAATTGACATCCTCAGAGCTATTGTTTCTTTGCTGTTATGATGCATGTATCGATTCATCTATATATATTGAGGATAGCAGATTGGCCATCTGTTGTGGTTGATTTTTCCCTTTTTTGTTTCTATACTCTTCTGTTTGCTTTGGTAGTGTCTAATTTTTTTAATCTGGTATGATCTAGTGGTTTTGACATCTGTTTTTTTAGATGATCACTAACTGCATAGATTTGAGCATGCTTTTTGGCATATATAATCACTATGTTGTTTCTTTTGGATTATGTAGGTTCATTATGGGAATGGAAGAGCTTTCTGATTAGAAATCTCGGTTTTATCCTTGACATGGCAACTTTATTGACTGCTGTGGGGCATTATGTGCTTATCTGGTTGCTTCGTGGCATGCCACTACATATAGTGGATGTGATTCTGTTCTTAAATATACGTGTAAATATCTGGCCAACTGATTTAAATCCTATTCAATTTGTGCTTGAAATTGGGGTTGACCTTCGGTTTATTAATTGTACAACATTAAATGATTTGCAGGCCTTGCTAAGTGCGATCATCAAACGTGTGAAAGGGTTTATTAAACTGAGAACTGCACTGGGTACTCTTCATGCTGCCCTTCCTGATGCAACATCTGAAGAGCTCCGTGCATATGATGATGAATGTGCCATCTGCAGGGTATGCTCCCCCCCCCCTCCGCTCTCTCTCTCTCTCTCTCTCTCTCTCTCATTGTCAAATTACAGCTGGCTTTTAATGACATGATAAAATTCTGAGTTGATAGGAACCCATGGCCAAGGCTAAAAGGCTTCACTGCCGGCACCTCTTCCATCTTGGTTGCTTGAGATCTTGGTACGAGAATGTGCATTATTAATTGTATTTGCAATTGAAATGAAACATTTTTTGAAAGTTGCTTATAATGCTAGGTTGGATCAAGGTCTTAATGACGCTTATTCGTGCCCCACTTGTCGAAAGCCGCTTTTTGTTTCCAGATCAGAGAATGAAGCAAACCCTAGCAGTGAAGTTTTGAGCGATGAACAGCTCGCTCGCCAGTTAAGTGTAGGTCTTGACGGACAAAATTCTTCTGGGAATGTGCTACCACCTGGACTATTTCCTACTCAGACTCAGAATCCTATGGATGAAGGAACTTGGAGGTCACATTATTATCAGATATATGCAATTTCTTTTTAACGGTTTAATATAATTTGAGAAACAGGACACCATTTTTGCAACTTCCATTGCTTAAAACACTGCTCAGTTAAGTGGTAATCATGGGACATTTTTTTTAAACTTTCGGATTGATTTGTTTGTTTAAGAGACGAATTGGCTAACTTGATTTTCAGCTGGTGATTGATCACTGTAGCGCTCGTATTTCTTGCATCTTTCACAAATGACTATTATTTTCTGGGGAAATATTTGAATATAAATTTGCTCTTGGGGTGGACTTAATGATGCCCTGGATCCTGCTTTCCTCAGATACTAGATATTTCTATAGGAAAGGGACAAAAGGCGAACCAAAGAGAAAGAGAGAACACCACATGAGGATTCATGGATTTACCTTCTTCCCACGTCTTTATCTAAATATTCATTGTTGATTCTGTTCAAAATTGGTCATTTTGACACTTTTCTTTTGTTTATGTCCACATGACTGAGGAGAAGCCTCTTCTTGTCTAAGTGCGAGCTTTACAACACCGAAAATCAAGCAATATCTTTAGGCTGCCAACTAAATCTTATCGATGCATTCTTGTTCCTTCTAAACACGAATGAGATTATTCTGTCCACAGAAATGCTGGACTGAACTCAAGTTGGCTGAATACTTGGCCAAGCCATGGTGTTGATGGTGCTGGCCCCTCCTCCACTGCCATGAGATCAGTCAGACTGGGGAGGGTTCAGCAGATGATGAGGCATCTTGCTTCCATTGGAGATACATACAGCCAGTCTGCTCTTGACGACGCTAGCTGGGGTATTTGGCCTACTAATCTCTCTCATACTGGTGCCTCTGGTTCCCTTGCTTCTGGTGCTTCTACTGTTGGAAGACATCCCGGAACCACTGGTGGTTTACATTTGAGAACTGCCTCACGTTCTGCAAATGATGACATTGCAAACATACTAACAATGGCCGAAACAGTTCGAGAGGTTTTACCCCATATTCCAGAAGAGATGATTTTTCAGGTAGAGTATTTCCTGTACTGCCTGAAAGTAAGTGTTTCAGCATGGCTAACCTGTAGCTTGAAATGAATTATGCCTCCTGTTTTTATCTGCCTGATTGATAATCAGTTATTGGTAGGCTTACAGAGTTGTTGCCAAATGAACGATTATATTGTTTCACAGTTAAATGTTGAGGTCCTCTCTGATTCTTTTGCATTGCTAAGTTTGGATGTGATGCATCTAAACTGTATTGGACTCATTTTGGGATTCTTATTGATCACATAACAATTTCCTTGGCTTTTGTGTGGTATCGCTGGTCGATTTCAAAACTACGTTGTGAATACTTAATTCTACCGGTACTGGAACATTCTGCCATTCTTTGTGAGAAGACAAGGATCAGAATTCTTGCATCAGATTGTTTGGATTGACTCATAATTCTATGCTCTGTTTTGTTAATTTTTTGCATAGTGACATTGTCTGATGTCAATCATGCAGGATTTGCAGCGAACAAATTCTGTGACTGTCACTGTGAATAATCTTCTCCAAATCTAAATGCATTGTATCATAGTCAATATGCTACAGCTCGTCAAAACACATATTCGGAGATTTCGGCGGCATGCATTCATCCAAGTTCGAGCATAAATTTCAGAGTTTGTTCTCCTCCAAATGTTCAATAAGCCTCAGTCTTTGTATATAGAGACAGCTTGATGTCGTGCTTCACGGAGTAAAGTAGTTCAAGTACCCTTTTTCCTGTGTATGTCTGAGAGTGGAGTGCTACTAGGCTAGTAGCACGCAATGTACTAGTTGACTACGATGAAGTATGCCGTATCTATTCCATCGCAAAGGGTGCAATCTGGTTTCGCGGGTGCAGCATCCATGTAAATCTCAATAAATTGGGTATGTGTACCAATCTCGATGTCAAAGGACATTCATTCAAGTGGAAGTCAGTTGAGCAAATTCTCCAATCCTTCTTAATGTTTTGCAAACAAGGTCTCTCTCTCTCTCTCTCTCTCTCTCTCTCTCCATGCGAAGTGGTTTCCAGTGGGATTGTGGAGCTTGTGCGCGTCTTTCATCTACTGACGACAGTAATGAATGGAGTTCGGCGGGATGATCTATCGACAATAATATGTTGAACGAATTACTATGCCTTTGTGGACAACGTGACAGTATAATGTTTAAATAAAACTAGTATTTTAATGCGTACTTGTGGAAGAGAGCTTACTAACGGCATTTAAAGAGGAGGTCGAACTTCGAAGTGCGGTGGGGTTTGCTTGTGAGGGTGCGGTCGGTAGCGACAAACCCGGAGCCACCACCTTCTCGAAATCAAACAGACATGGCACCGAAGGTTATGGACAGAGACCAGGACAGAGTGTTAGTTGGTTTTGTAGTCTTCATGCTTGTCTTATTTACACGACTTCCCACTTCTATGGGTTCCATGTCCGACCTTCCATAAACAATGTTTTTCTTCTTCTTTTTTCCTTTTCCGATTGACCCAGGAGAGCGTTTTAGACATTCTCTTGTGCTTTGCGATGTTCCCCATGTGTGCCCTAACCATTCCTCATCTTGCATTTCGCAATGCTTTTTAATAAGTGCGACGTTGAAGGTGATAAATATTACCTTCAAAATAAGCATAAACCGACAGGAAGATGATAAACATAGTCTACTTAAAATGACAGATTTAGCTGTTAAATCTATCCTCCTCCTTATTTTAACCTGCTCATCTCACAGAGGTATGTATGTAAGGAACATGTCGCCATGTCGGGCCAACCTCTCTCTAGACATATACCCATCAAGACGGCCTTCACTCCTTAAATTACTTTCCACTAATTACGTTGGTTAATTAGTCAACACAAAATGTGTTCAAAACAAAGCCTAGCTATTCCCAATCGCACATGCGAGGTAGAAAATCTTTCACTCTTCCCACCGTCAGCATCCACCTTTTCCACAATATAAAAGAGCATCGTGACTACTAGAAGGTCGGACGCTTTTCTGTCTTGTCTTTTACTATAATTGAATTAAGAGGCATTGATGTGTAGGGTGGACTATTTTATGGTCAACAAAACCTATTTCTCACAGGAATGAAAGTGCCCTCATTTGAAAGTTATTTGTCGCGTGTATATATATAGGAATTTAAGTGATGGTTAGAAGGAGAAAAGAGACATGTATGCTTTCTCTTCCTCACAAAGCCTGTATTTTGCAGTTGCAGAAAGCTTCAAGCGAACCCATCGTCTTCCTACTTGTATCTATCATTAGTTGATTGCTCTCTTTTCATAGCTTCCTCTCACACGAAGTCGATCATGCCCGCCATTGGTTTGCTCTTCCTACTTCTTTTATGTCCTCGAATGCATGCATCTAATGCTCGCCTTCTTGAAGCCGATGCCGGTGGGAAAAAGAGCCCTCATTCTTTTAGCAAGGTAAAGTATACGATTTATACGTGTAATTTCGAGTGTCAGCTAGTACAAACTACTTGTATGATAAACCATGTCGCTGTCCACCACATCGAGCCCCAAACTAAGATGATACTTCCACACACTTGGTGTGTGATCAGTAATCAAATTACGTAACCTTTGTTTTGATCATGTTTGGCGAGTCAAAAATTTATCAGCGCTGTACAAGCAAAAACGTCTCATTTCTTGGCTTTTATCTTTCATTTGTACGCATGTGTAATGCATTGTAAGAGCAGTGCTGATGCTTGTGTAATTCAAACATGCAGCTAGCAGAGAAGGTTAAACTGATGATCCACATTGAAACATATCGGGAAGGAGTAACAAAAGTGAACGAGAAGTATCGCAAGACATCGAGCGCTAAAGACACTGTCGCAATAGATGTCGTGAACCACATGGTCACGGGAGTGAAGCACGGAAAGAGAACCGTTTCAGGCGCCGTCCCGACGACATTGGGACACCGTTTCAGTACTTCTCCCGGTCTCTTCTCCGATTATTCCCGACCCAAGATGCGACCTCCTTCTCACAATTGATTAGTTGATGGTTTTTGCTCCACTAATCACTCTAGCATAGTTGCACTGTAGTTCAGAAGCTACATTAACCTTCATTAATCTGAAAATATACTTATTAGGTAGGTCTTTTGTCCCTTTTTTTGTTTCCCATTGTCTGTAGAGATGCCGTTTTGAGAGAGAGACGAGGTGGCTTGCGGCTTTCGGATACTAATTGTTTGACAATGCACGAACACAGTTTTTCCGCGACTTCTTTTTATCGAAAACCCTTGTTCTAAGTACAGTAGTTTGTTATTGATAGCCATCGTATGTCGAAGGTTGTCCTCATCTCATGCCAAAGATTCAGGGATAAAATAAGTAATTGATGCTTATTATCAATACTTATGATTATGATTGACTCGACGTAACTTGTAGTTACATAATTAACTTAGAAATGAATGAGCACCTTTGTTAAGAGATCCAGCACTCACGAAGAAGGAACGACGATGGAGGATGAGATCCGTTATTTCAAATCACGACGGCGACACAACAAGTTCTAACTATAGATGTTCGCGTCGTGAAATGTATGTGCATCCGTCAACATCAACAGAGCTTATCGTCTAGCCGATCTAAGATACTTTTCGATTCCGGAATACGAAAGGGAATTTCGGGATTTTCTCAACGAGGGAAAAAGTGGGCATAACATAGAATCGATCCATGTTTTTTCCTAACATAGACAGTCAAACAAAGACGCAAGAAGCACCCGTGCCGAGAACGATGTCCCCGAAGGTACCAACAGCTTTTGACCACATTCCTCCAACAAAAAGCAGCAATTCACGCACCGACTCCGTCGTGTCGCAAATGCCCATGATCCAATCAATGAAACTTCTAAGGTGGACTTGTACGTGTCAACGACGAACAGTGTTGCGCGAAAAAAGGGCAAAAGCCAACAAAAAAAAAATAATCTTAAACTGTGCACACCGTGATACATTTACTATAAATTTTTTTATGTGACACAAAAAATTCCAAACTTATACGTGTGTGACCCATTCACCGTCTGTCAAAGTTCTGTCAATGACAACTGCCAAAAATCTGTTTATATAAACACCATAAAGCAAACAACGTTGACATGGTGCCTAGGTGAAAACGACATTGTTTTGACTGAAAAATCATTAAACTGAACTTTGACGGAGGGTAGAGGTACATAAGTACAAGTTTGAGGGTTTTTATGTCATAAGAAAAAGTTTAACGTAAACGTGTTAGTGTTACGGTGGGTATACTTTGATATTTTTTGTAACTTTTTCCTGAGAGTAATGACAAATTTTCTCATGCCGGGCTAAAAGTCACGATATTGGGCTGGGCTTGAATCGGGAGGAGAATCATACGAGGGCCCAAAAGGCTTCTAGAAAGCGGGCCCACGGCCCAGCTCGCCTACCCGTTAACCGTCGCGTATCCCGAATTCGTAACCGCCCCCACCACGTAACCTTCGCCTCCCGCCTAAAAAACCTTCAAAAGTTACAAACGGCATGCAGATGTCGCACGCTGCAAACCCTCGTGGAAACGAACGAACCGAGACAGCGCAGAGACATGACGAAGCGATACTTCATGTTGCAGAGAAAGCTCGAAGACACCGAATCCGAACTCCGGTCCGTCTTCTCTCTCCCCGCCTCGGCAACCCCGTCCCGCCAGTTCCTGTCTCAGTGCATCCGGCAGCGGCTCCTCTTCCTCAACAACTTGTTGTCCGCCGAGTTCGCCTCCGACCCCAAGCGGCCCCAGCACCTGCGCCACGTCGCCCGGCGGCTCGCCAATCTCGAGGCCGCTTTCTGTGCCTGGGACGGCGACGAGGACGAGGACGAGGACAAGGCCGGCTGCGAGGACGAGGCTGACTGCGCTGAGGATGCCTCCGTGTGCTCGTGCACCGAATCGTGCCTCCGCGATGACAACGACGATGGAGGAGAAGAGACGAAGGAGGATCCGGCGGTCGATGAGTGGAACGATTTGCCGGTCACCGAGGAAGGCGATGGGTTGGTGAAGGGATCGGCGGGTGAGGAGAGCGAAAATGAGGGGAAAGAGAAAGTCGGGGAGAGAGGGAAGTCGCGGAGGGTGGTTAACATGGTCGGTGGCATGGTGGTGGTCGGCGCGGCGGTTATGGCGATGTTCTCCGGCTTTGTTCTCCGTCATCTCGATAATGGAGACGCTTTCGTGGTTACCCCCACTTAGAAATGTAAGCATATACTAAATGGACGTGTGCTCGTGCGTGTGTATGTGAACGGATTGCTCGAGGATTATCATTGTAAATTTTGCTTGCGTGTAGTTTGACATCACTGAATCTATGAACAATGACTATGACTTATATACATGCGCATGCATATGCCGATCCTTTTCAGTTCTAAATCAAACATGATGTTATCGGTTGCGATGGAAGAGTTATCATGGATCGATCGCGCTGCACAAGTGGCATCACATTATCGACATTGAATCCAATCGGGAAACAATTACTTAGAATTCCTTCTCTTGGTCCAACAACTGTTGCTGTCCTGACTAAAAAAAGATCCCTCATGTGTCACTAGCTTTTGAAATACTCGCCATTTACAATTGTCCTGGTTAGACAGTAGGCACTCACAGGAGCTGCTACTGCTCTGCTATTGCTTTCTTCTTCAACGTCTCTCAACTTGAGACTGCTTGAAGCTCTGAGTTGATTCATGGGATGAATCGAGCCCGAAAGAGGAGCAACCCAGGCCATATCTAGGCTTCTTTAGTTGTGGGCCTGTGTTGCTTTCGACAAATGATTTGGTATTTAGATGAGACGAGCGATTAGAGATCGATCATGGGATGTGCGCCCCCCTCCCATAGAAAAGAATCTGGCGAGAGATTCGGTCAAGTCTTGAGATTGGTGTCGAAGCTTGAGGGGAGATGGAGATTTTCTTAATGCGAGCAATAGCTCCTTTGATGTCAGACAAAAGTTAAGAAGTATTTCATGAGTTCTCGCGCGCTTTGACTTCTCACTTTGGCCCTGTTTTGACCGACAAAGTGGAGTAGCTCCGCCTCTGGATCCGGCTGGTTGCCGGATGCTCCTTATTCATCTCGAGAAGCTATCGAGAGGGTGGTGCCAATTGCAAGTTTTTAATTGGATACTACAAGGCCGAGGCTCTAGTAGTAAGTGAAACGATGGTTTAACTTGAACAAATGAGGAAAAGCAAAATGGGAAGATAGTGTATTGATTTCTTCCTTAGCAAGACGTTAAACTATGTCCATTCGGGGTCTTGTTCGGATCTCAGGATCCCATGGTTGTAAAGCAAAGAGAGGTTATTCCCTCCTCTCTGAAAAATACAAAGATAGAGGAAAGAATTAGGGGTTACGAGACGTGCGGACCCTGACACATTAAAATAAGGTGTGCATCTGTGGAGTTCGCCACCTCTTGCTGAAGTGGACAGGCTGCCGAGGCCCTCTTAAGAGTGAAAACTCCCTTCCTTTGGTGAGGTTAACTCTAACCGAACACCAAAAATCCAAGAGAAGCCCCTTGGTTAGAGGTGACCTTCTTTAACTCTAGAACAATGATCTACTAAGTTTACTTGAAGAGATATAATTAGTAATTAGGGAACGTCACGAACTATAGTTTAGAACTTCGAAAGCATGTTATGATGAAGGTTTAGCCTGTCATTTGCATGCGGATTAACTTTTCGTTGTAGCGGTGAATGTTTCCCATAAATTCTTCTAGCTCGCGAACGAGAAGTTAGGGTGAGAATACTCGAACAAAAGTCTCCGTAATTAAGTTTGCAATTTTTTTTTAAGGGACCCATGTTGACCCCAAAGTTAAGAGGCTGGATTAATAAAAACCATGCTGACTCATGTCTTGTCTGGCAATAACTAAGATTCGACATTGGACCGTTGGACGTGCATGAATTCGCAGTTTCCATCTAATGGGAAAACACACATGTTGACTTGCTACTTATTCTATGGAAAAAAAAAAAGAAATTTCAATTTGACGTGATTAATGCAGCCAATTGCTGCTTGATTAAGGAAGCACCGCGTCTTTGGCTTCCCGCACAGCACGTGAAATCCGAAAACTTAATCTTAATTTTGGACAGCTTGTCGTGTTGCAAACCAAACAATATTTTTGCATGCATTGTTTTTGTTTATTGATTATTATCTCCTTGGTTGTAGAGCAAAATGACTTACGATCGATCGATGCTTAGTTTACAAGCCAGTCAATCCAATGTCACATGCGTCCAATCATGTACAATTGGAAGACCAAGGCGTGAATATTAATTAATTGACGTGATTATTTTGATAGGTTTCTGGTGAGCTGGAAGAAAAGGAGTAAAAAATGTGGACACTTCAGCAATTTGGAGTTAGCAGATTCCTAACAATCTTAATTATTCAGAGAAATTATCAAAAAAGTCTTAAATCTATTAGTATTCGTGTCAATTCAGTTCTAAACATTTTAACAATTTATCAATTTAGTCTTAAAACTTTCGATTTGCCAATTTAATCCTTAATCTTTTGATGATTTGCCAATTTAGTCCTTCCAGCCAACTTTGATTGGAAATCGCTGATGTGGTGGTCTAGCCAGCACCGGCTGTCTTACATGTCACGACCGGCGTTGACATGAACAATTTTTTAAAAAAATTGAATTATTATTATTATTTTTTCTTTTTTTTCCAAAAAATTGAATTATTATTATTATTTTTTCTTTTTTTTCCAACCTTGGGCCGGCGTACCCTCACTTGATCTAGGCAAGGGTGTCGTGGTCCTTGTGGGCCTTAGGCGAGGCCGACCCTCGCCCAGATCCGGCAAGGGTCGGCTGACGACCTCGCTGGTCCAAGGTTGGAAAAAAAAAGAAGAAGAAAAAATCATAAAAATTGTCCACGTTAGTGCTGGCTGTGCTAATCGCCATGTTAGCGATTTCCGGCCAAAATTGGTCAAAATAGCTAAATTGGCAAATCGTAAAAAATGTTTAGAATTAAATTGACAAATCGTCACTACGGTCGAGGACTAAATTGCTAAAAGGGCTAAAATTGAATTGGCACAAAAATATTAGGTTT